GGTTAGTTCTTTTGTAGGAATCATATGAATAGTTCATCAGCATTTATTCATTTGGGGCACATGGCACAACTGTGGACAACAGCTCCTTTCCCTCTTACAATTGTGGTCCATGGATAAATTCAAGAATAAGTATTGATATTGCATGTCGGTCCTTTTGGATGTTGATGCTACCACGTCCCTACTCTCAGGGTTTAAAGAGGCAGAACCTACAAGACTGCAGGTGCTTTGAATTCAAAGTTTTCTTTCTCCGAGACAGGTTAACAATTTAGTACATAGAACCCTTATCTGGGGTTGGATATATACCTTTCTGAACTATGGATAATGTTACTGTAAGTGAACGCAATGAATTCTAGTGTTTGAACTCAGTTCGCCGATTCCTCAAACGGAGCCGGTATCCATTAATTCACCGAATCTCATTGACAATATTTGATATCTGAAATTATGATCTTATATCAAAAAGTTAAATAAAATATGAATCTTTCGATTGCATTAAAAATTCAGTTATTGTAATTTTTCTACTAAAAAAAATGCTAGAATCCGAAATATACTTATTGTATTTACGATATAAATCTTAGTATATCATAAATGTTTAATCTAGTTCCACTGGCTAATATAAATATCCTTGTTCAAACTTTCATTTGCATAATAAAATCTTATAGATTCTACACATATATATTAGTGTGCGCGCGTAGTGTACATATCCTTACGAGTTTTAAATATGTCTGATATATGGCGACAATAAATGTATATATGTATAGCTGGCCACTTGTACTCGAAGATATCCGTCTACTAGGGCGGCTAGACAATCCTTATTGTAGACGCTTGCTCAGGCACATTTCTGTTTATTCAACACCCACGGATCCAAAACGTGGTTTATACTGCAACAATGCTGAGCAGACCTTAGTTACAGTTACTGGGAGAGAGCGTGTTATCTAGCGTGATCAACAATTTGATCAAGGCCAGCACGTTTAAGCCCTCGTGTCTTGTGACTTTGTGCTAGCACAGGTGGCGACGGACCGCAACGGTTCCTTCTACCCAATCTTAATCAAAAGGTTTGGGTCAATCTGTGGTATTGTTTTCAGGCACCTTCCAAAGGTGCCGCACGCTGCGATCGATCCTTCCACTCTGATAACATCTGCCATTTTCCTTCATGATAACCCCAATATGATGAAATTCGAACCCGGATCTCCTGGTCTGAATGAGAACGTTCTAACCACTCGGCCACGTGCCAAATAAACAACGATATAAATAACGACAATAAATAACAACATTTAAATCTTGAACCGAATTGCTTTGTGTTTTGAGAAATCTTTGGCATTTTCTTTACACCTGTTATATGACAAATCCGAGTTTAGTGTTTCAAAGTGCCACAAAAGCAAGTTCTCTTGAGATTAATGAATCTGATATCACTTATTCCACAGTCTAAACTTCGTTCTACACCAATCGCCCAGATGTTAACTAAATTTAAATTCGAATGGCGATTCTGATAGTTTTGCTTTGAAAACTATTTTGTGAACTATTTCACTCAGGATGAAAATGCAAACATACTTTAAACTACACGCGTTTAGAAGAAACGTTCTTCAAAATCGATTAAATCTTTATAAACTCTCACTTTACAAGATGGTGGATCTTCAACACCAAGGTCAAGTCACTACTACTTTACGGCTCAGAAGCCTGGCGGGTAACCAAAAAATTCAGACATTTAACAACTGATTTCACAGGATCATACTCAGTATCAGGTAGCCGGAAAATGTCTCCACCGACCAACTTTGGGACAGGACCAGACAAGCCCCAATCGATATTGACATCAAGAAACGGAAATGGGGATAGATCGGCTACACACTCCGCAAGCCTGCTTCTAGTGTCACCTGGCAGGCAGGCTATTGAGAAAAGAAAGCGAAAAATGGGTCGAAAAAAACAGACTTGGCGCGGAAGTCTTGACGGAGAGGGGAAGACAGACGTCACGACATGGGCCGAGCTGAATCAGATTGCCCGAAACCGCATCTGATGGGGATATCTTGTTTGACCTTATGTTCCCCCAAGGAATTAAGTGGCATAATGAATATGAACATTAAGTATCATGTGATAGAAAATGTTTCTAAATATAGAAATGTGTCTATATATATTTTTTTTAATTTCAAAAGAATATCTCCTCTTTGAATTGTCACATATGGATGAATATTTAATCATAGGAACTTTAATTGTTAAGTTTAAAGGGTAACTTCGAAGTTTACAAAATTATGAATTGTGAATTGTAGAAAAAATTGATAAACTTAGAAAACTGTGAACTGTGACACAAAAAATAGTTCATAATCTTAAAAAGTTTAAAAAAATCTAATCTGAGGAAGATTTTAATGACAAGCATAATATTGATTCATACTCTTAGAAAGCGTCGAATTGAAAATCTTAACGAACAGCTTAAATTAAATATCACTGAACATTGAAGGTTAGAAATAATTCCAAAGAATTAGAAAACATTGAAAATGTGAAGCTTAGAAAGAATTTCTGATGTTTACAAAAATACCGTAAGCTAGAAAACGTTCAACAGTCTAAAAAGAGAAAACGCTGAACTATTAAATACAAAAAGACTTTAGAAATTGATTTAATACAGAGGAATAGAAAGAAATCATTAGCCTTTTTAAGCATTCCTAAACTGAGGAATATCTGCAATGAGAAGAGTAGATAGAATTCATTCTTGTTAGATAGTTTTAAACTGGGAAGCTTAGAACGAATTTATCTGCTATGAAGCATTGTGAATTATAGATAGAATTCATAAGCAAACTAAGTTTTGAATTATTAAGCTTAAAAAATATAATATTAGATCTATTTATATGGGGGCCTTTAGTAACCATTTCAAATTTACGAATTTCTGAAAGCATGACATAGATTAGAAAGATTTAATTATCAAACGTAAAACATCTTTAAAAATTGGAAAGCTTTATAGTATGATGCATTAAATACAGTCCTTTATTCCATTGATGCAAATAACGAAGCAGTCAGATGTTCCAATTCTTATAGGGCTGCGTAACTCCGTAAGCCTGCTTTTAGTGTCACCAGGCTTGTCCTTGATTGGAATTCACAAGTGAAAAGTAGGTCGACAAAGGCAGACTTGGAGTAGAAGTGTTGATGCAGAGGTGAACGCAGCCGGCATGACATGAGCCGAGCTGAAGAGGATCGCTAGGAACCGCGTCCGTTGAAGAGGTATTGTTGCGACCCTATGTTCTCCAGAGAATCAAGATGCTTAAAAAAGGAACTCCAACTGTGACGCCAGTCTTAATAAATCGAAGAAAAATTAATTGACTCAGTTGATTTATGTAGGTTATATAAAGGCGGAGAATATTTTCAGACTGTGAGAATTTATCGGGAGATAATCGTCATATAAAGGTACAAGTTCTACTAATTAACCAATAGCTTCCTTTCCTAAAGGTATTTGTGCGTAAGTAAGTATAACAAACCCGACTGGAATTAGAACTAAGCGCAGAGATTTCCAATTCTTAGGCGTTATATATTACATCAGCTGCATATCTAACTTTACAATACATGGTATTACTAACAGGTGACACATCTAGGGACTGACAAGGTTTGACGTTGCTTACTTCGGCAAACGTAGAAGAACCGGTGATTCGACATGACATAAGCATAAGCTCCCGAAAATACATACATACAAACATATATAAAAACTGTCTTTGTAGATATATATATATATATATATATATATATATATATATATATATATATATATATATATATTGAAATTCTCGGACATTCAGGCCGGTAAATGTTGTTAATACTGGTTATTGTAAACAGAGAATTTACTTATTTTAATTATTTGCATCTATAAAAGAACATATAAAAATAAAAAAAAATATCTTAGAAAATAATCGCCTAGAATCTAAGTTCAGTGTGCAAAGAAAAAAACCTCCGATACGAGTAAGTAAAATAACTAAACATATATATATATATATATATATATATATATATATATATATATATATATAATTTTTCAGTATATACTATGTAATGAACCGGTGATTGTACAAAGAATTAATTAGAAATGTTAATGTAATGAATGGCGAAATCTGAATAATAACAATATCAATAAATAACATTAAAAAAAAATATTTCGGTTTACACGGCGTTTATTTTGCCTGGAATGAAAAAATTAAGCCCTGAGGATGAAAATGTGAAATATTCAAAAATATTCGGTCCAGTAACATCAAATCTATCTGATAACAATTTAAGTATAAGGGTCATTTTATTTAATGTATTGTAAATGAGTTAATGACTTATTAAGTCTTGTTAGCCAATAGATTTCTCCATTAATTATATTAACATTGCTAATTAATTCTTTGTACAATTCCCTCTTTATGATATATATATATATATATATATATATATATATATATATATATATATGTGTGTGTGTGTGTGTGAGAGAGAGAGAGAGAGAGAGAGAGAGAGAGCGTGTGTCTGTGACTGTGTGTGCAAATGCAGATGTAAATAGAATATATCTATAAAAAAACATTAATAAAAAGCTGAAGGAGAAATTTACTTCATCTTTGTCAGAAAAACATACATTTATTTAGAAATTAACACAATTATTAACATCATTAAATATTTAAAATGAATAAATTATTGCATAAATAATTAAACAAAATAAAATACACATAAATAAATAGCAATTGCATAAATAAATAACTTAAACTTCAACGACAACAACAACCGATTTTACTCACTTTCATTTATTAGGAAATTAATTACATCATTTAGCGTCTTCCATACTTTAGCTTTTACAGAATATTTAATTATATTCACTGATTTAAAACTGAAAAATTGAGGATAATTTCCTACGCGTTATATATGTTCCTTAAGATAAGAATGGCTATGGTAAAGATTTCTTTTTGCATGATTCGTTAGCTTTCAAGATAGATACGTTCTGCCAATACCTGGTAAATAATAGACTATTCCGTTTTGATCGCATTGAAAGAGAAGAAAAGACACTATTTGAAAATGATAGAGACGAATGGAAGGAAGAAACAACGTAAGAAAGAGAGAAAGAGAGAAAGAAAGAAAAAAGAAAGAAAGAAAGAAAGAAAGAAAGAAAGAAAGAAAGAAAGAAAGAAAAAAAGAAAGAAAGAAAGAAAAAGAAAGAAAGAAAAGAAAGAAAGAAAGAAAGAAAGAAAGAAAGAAAGAAAGAAAGGAGGCTCTTTCAGGAAAAATAGAAAAGACCGTCAATTTCAAATCTTATCATTTCTTATAACATTTGTAAAATAACGACCAGAATTCATATTTGGTAAAAAACTAGAATCGGGGCCATAATTCTCTTGAGCAAAAATAAAAGGAGAAAAGATAGTAAGAAATTATAAAAAATATTTGGAAAGAAAATAAGTCAATTGCAGAAGACACATTGTTTATGTAATTGATCCAAATGTTTTCATGATGGCTATATTTGGAGATATTCTTAATCCTCCCATCGGAAAAATATATTAAAATATATTTCATACAATAGAGGAAATGGTTCGTTTCAACTGAATACAGTGTAACCCGGATATAAGAGAGTAGTCGGGACCGGAGAAGAAGTATCTTATATCCTGGTTTCTCTTATATCCGGGTTTGGTCTATTTTATATACATTAACATAGGCTCTAATTTATGACCAGAGAAAATCTCTCTTATATCCGGGTTTCTCTTATATCCGGTTTTCTCTTATATCCGGGTCTCTTATATCCGGGTTACTTTCATCCGACAAAAAGGAACCAACAAGCTTCAGTACAAATGGGAATACACACACACACACACGCACACACGCACACACACACACACACACATATATATATATATATATATATATATATATATATATATGAAGAAATATAGTTTTAAGGTATGCTATATTTATGGGATAATGTGCTCAATATTAGAGATAGAGCGTATTCAAATATTAATATAAAGTGAACATTGAAGTCAACACTCAGAGGCGACAGGTTGTTTCATGCTGTACACAATCGTCAGGCCTGACGAATGCGTCCAGCATGAAAAGGGTGTCGCCTCTGAATGTTGATTCAATGTTCACTTTTATATATATATATATATATATATATATATATATATATATATATATATATATATATGTGTGTGTGTGTGTGTGTGTGTGTGTGTGTGTGTGTGTGTGGGACAAATCAAAAAATGTACTTGAAAATATATCAAAAAAAATAAACGATATATATAAATTTTAACGCCCTTTTGTTCATGTTAATTATGGCCTCTATTCTAAACAAATATTTTTGATTGATATTGCCATATATTGTTAAAATTGTTACGCACAAATATATTTATGTATATATTATTGTCGTAGGACTCACCATGAACATTATTTAATCATGTACTTAAAAAGTAAAGTTTATCAGAATATTTCAATAGGAAAATTGTAAACATTTTATCGGTTAAATCTAATGATAATAATTGTTTATGGGTTTCTGGTTTTTAATATTTTAAGTTTTATCTTTAGTCAAATAAAATATGTTTAAAAATATATTTAATGTACGTACATAATATTTGTGATATAAATTATTTTTTATCCTGCTTATTAACTGAATTTATTGAGTTGTTTTGACAATCTATAAAATTTAGTCGGCCATTTACTGAATTTAATTTTTAAATATTTAAATATATAATCATATATTACAGTTTAGAATACTAGCGCAAAATATTACTCCACCTCCCCATATTTCTTTCTCAGACGTGATCCTTTTTGTACACACACACACACACACACACACACACACACACACACACACACACACACACACACACACGGGGTGCGATAGGTAAATTGTCGCAAATTTTAACAGACATATTTACCAAGATTATACAAAAATTATCTTGAAATACTAAACAGTAAAATTTATTCAATAAAATCACCATTGGCTTCAACCATGGCCCCAAGACTTTGGAATATCCTGCAACTCTTCTGGGCGGTCTCATTGTTTAAATTGGTGAATGTTGCCATAATCCTTGCATTCAGTTTATCTTCGGTTTTAAAAAGAGTTTTGTTAATCTCTCACTCAACTGCGCTCTACAAATAATAAGCAAAGTGGTTGCAATCTGGGAGTTAGATGGCCAGATATAAGGGGTGATGTGGTGGCAGCAATTGACAGATGACTGTGTTCCCCTGCTTGTGTGGCATCGTTCAGAGTCTTGTTACCGGCCATAGGAACTTACTGCAGCCAACCTCTTGACCCAGTGCAGCACTACCTCCTCACGGCACTTGATGCAGATCTCCCTTTTGCGTCTGATGTCCTCACCAACAAATTCGAGGGTTATTTTCTCATCAGAACGAACATAGTGAGTTTTCAAATCTGCAATACCTACGTAATCACTATTAGACTTATCCAACTCTTTCGGAATCCTCTGCACTTTTCTCAGATTGATCTGCGATCACTATGAAATGTTCCTATTGGAGCTTCCGACGTTAATGGCAAGCAGTACAGCATGCTACTTCCGAATTTCTGGCGGAGGGAATTGCGTCATAGTGACCTTTTAGCCACATACGGTGCCCAACTGACCCTACTATACTCTGCAGTCGACAAAATCAAAAACAAACAATTAAAAAAGTCCGTGGGTAAGTAATCCAAGTAGATCTTATTAATATAACATTTTAAAACAGATTTACAAAAGAGAGTTCAATATATATTTTTATAGAGAATATAAGTGAATTCCAATTAATTAGATCCAAACAAATTACCTCATACAACTGATCATTTTGTCCATAGGAAAGTAGTTTTTTCTCGGAATTATCATTGCAAATACATTTAGCCTTAATTACCTTTCGATGTAAATACATTTACTAAAATGAACGTGGAATTTTATTCATTTTTAGTAAATCTATTTGCATTGATAGTTCCAGGGAAAAACTAAATTTCCCATGGAAGAAATGATCATCTGCATGAGGTAAATTGTTTGATCTCATTAATTGTAATTTACAACGCACACACAAACACACACGCACACACACACACATTATATATATATATATATATATATATATGTATATATATATATATTATGAAATGGACAAAGTTCGACAATTATTTTAAGACATAATTTAATGTTTATACGTTTTTGTTTTAGATACAAATATTTTATAATAAACTATTAACGACATTTACCGGCCTAAATGTCCGAGAAATTTTAATAGAAAATACGCGTCCCCGCCAGGAATCGAACATGTATCCTAAGTAAAATCGACCTTGCTAACCGAAATTCTCCACTGTGGCTCAATCGGTAAAGCACGCAAGGCTGTATGACGGTATATGATACTGGTTCGACTGCTGTCGGAGGACGCATATTTTCTATGAAAATTTATCGGACATTCCGGCCGGTAAATGTCGTTAATGCTGTTTATTATAAAAACAGAGCATTTATTCAAATATTTCTATCTATAAAAGAAGGTATAAACATAAAAAACAATATATATATATATATATATATATATATATATATATATATATATATACTGTAAAGATGTATATCGAAATAAGTTTGAAACAAAATGAGCAGCTGCAGAATATATAAAGTATGTTATTTACATTGCTCAGACTATCATCCTCATCTTTCTTGCCATATTTATTAGAACCTTTTGGCCGTTGTACGCTCCGTCCTTTTTAAGGTGGTTGGAATGCCGAACTGATCCCTTTATTTTGCTCGCTGGGATAGACTGCTACTAGTTTCACGTGCCATGAACAAAGCTGGATTATACAACAGCCGCAACGTTGTGATAAATATGGCAACAAAGATGAGGATGTTAGTCCGAGCAATAGAAATAATGTACACAATACCTCATCTCAGAAATATAGACAGATATACAAAGTTTGTTGATCAGTCGAGTATAAATCGTGACGTGAAAACTTTCGTGCGCTAAAAAATACTGTGTCCCCAATGCAGTTGTTTTTGCCGTTGGATTACGATTGACGATGGCGATGGTGAGAAATTCGTCAGCTTCAAACCAGATGTTACACGAAACAGAGTTAAACTTCCATGAACGAAACCTGAAGGCGACTAAAGACAAACGCCTTCCCTTGAAAATTTATGATGTTATTTAGTTTCTTTCAAACCCCGATTGTATGTTTTATCAAACTCCCATAAGGATAGTGCAGCTATCTTGCTAAAGAGTTGGCTGCATTGTTACAGCTCCAGACTTGAAATATGTAAAGATTACTGTTTCGTTTACTTTAGCTAAAGTTATGAAGAATTGTCTCTTGGGTCGGAGATAATATCTTTATATGCTTCTTTACATCAGGTTTTTGTTTACTTACGTTCACCTCTATGAATCTTTTGACATTTGGCTAATGCTACGTAACGAAGCAATTTTCCTTGTTTATATTCCTCTGTCTTCATTGAATTCATGAAATTTTACACCATACTTATTGAATTCAATTTTGACAAAATGATGTATAAGAAAATAGATGGGATGTCACTGAGTATCCCTTTGGGCCCAGTGCTGGCCGATATTTTTGTTTAACTTTACGAGAAAGAGTTACTGGCGCGTATTAAATCACCTTACTGTTATTTTCGATGTATCGATTCACTAACTGGATTCGATTTTTCTTACGTTAGCGTACCGTAAACCTACTTTCAATAGTTTATATATACTTAGGGACTTTTCTGCCTCGAGCAGTGAAGTTTCAACCTCGTTGAAAGCTTGATCGATCGTACCCTATTAACTTGTTCAAAGACTAAAATAATTTTGCAAACTGAATTTATTATGTAAAATTTAAATGGCGATAGATATAAAGTTAATATTTTTCAAAATACCATTCATTCTAAAATGTTGCAAGTAGTCCAGTTTCTTGGCATATACCATAGAAAGAGGATTTTAGCAAGAGATATGGTAAGCAAATTTTTACGTTTTGTTAAAAGTTGCTTTTTTTTTCGGCAAATCCCTGTTTTGTCTTTACAACTCCACCAATGTTGCGATAATCCCATTAGACTGCTTTACACAATAACGAGGTTAATGCAATAATATATCGTTTTAAATGTCAGTTTGAGAAAGATAATATAGGTAGAATGTGTGTCAAAGGTTCGGAGAATTTATAAGTCAATAAATAGAAGCCAGTATTTTCATATGGCAATGTGATAATTTGTATAGCTGTATCAATACAACCGCCAAGCGTACGTTTATTTAATAATCATCATTGCATCATCTCCTACGATATGGACATGCTGTCAATTCTGAGTAAGACGCAAACAGATTTTCACATAGAAATCTTACAGACGATATACATTAAGATACATCAACTCACCCACTGTAAACAGATTGGATGAATGTTGAATGTGAATATTGTTTGACTCCTATATAATTCTATATGGGTGAACGATATATAACTTTTTTATGTATCAAGAACTATATATATATATATATATATATATATATATATATTTAAGATTCTCACCATCTTTCTGTCGTTCGAGCGTATGTGCACCAATTTAAACACTAAATGTTACACGAAAACATTTTTTTTCCATTTTAATGTAATTCCTCCTAAAGTAAATTTATATGTGTGCGTGTGTCTGTGCACGTAAAAATCTTGACTTTTTTTTAATCACATCACCCCAAGCAAATGGGAATGCTCTAATTATCGCAATAATATATATATATATATATATATATATATATATATATATATATATATATATATATATTAACAATTATCGCAATCGAATTACGTTGACTCCCCATGAAAGATTATTAACAGTAGAACAACATTTCCACCTACAAAAACACGATTTTAAAACCCATGCCAACTTCAATATAGTTGAGAGAATAGCAAAGTTCAGAGCTGATAACATTAGAAAGATTTCAGAGTGCCATGAAAATAAGTGGATCCGACTTTTAAAAACGTACTATCCAGACGGGGTTAATCACAAATTTACCAATATAGATAGTATTAATATGTAACCACACAAATCGGGACCTACCCACATTTCTCACCCACACAATACAGAGAGGCTTGCGAATGTGTTGAGACATCCTACTTATACACACACGCATACGAATATACACACTTACACAAATCATTGTTACTCCCTAATGAGTCAAATAATAACACACACACATAGTAATATGCACATTTACACACATCACGCGCATTCACACCCTGAGAACCAAATAACACACACACTTAACAGGGATATATTTCCTTTCAAGGAACCAATAAAACTGTCAAAATGGACAAGGGAATTCAAAGCAGCATGAATCCATCCAGCTTTTATCTTAAATAACAACTTGAAAAAGACTTTTTGACCAACACAATTGCTAATCAAATTTATGTTAAAATTTTAAAAACAAACCAAATGAAAACTACAGTTCATTCTCCGCATCCAGACATACATTTCTGTATTTCACGGTTACGAACAACCCCATTTTGTTCTCCTGATGATGGCTATGTTGGCCGAAACTAGTCGAGGAATCTAACTGAAATAATAAAAACGAAAGAATATTAATATACAACTCACTGTGTCTGAATATTTTAAATTTTTAATATATTTTATTGTTCAAAACATATACACACACACACACACACACACACACACACACACACACACACATATATATATATATATATATATATATATATATATATATATATATTACTGTTTCTTATCATCCTGATTATATATCATTTTTAGTTCAATACTTGATAAAAAACATATTTTATATTGTCTCCAAGAAATCTACCAATTCTACAAATATATTTAGTGGATGGAAACGCATTTTTTAGAACACGCACTTTTGTTAGAAACCGCCAGAACTTTGCTTCCAACTAATTAATTACATTGAAATTTTTTAAATTCCTATTTATTTCCAAGCATAGAAATTCAAGGTAACATTTAAGGACTAGTATACTTATTTTCGCGCCAAACTAAATCACACTAATACTGCTCCAAATCCTAATTTCCGTATCAACACCTGTATACATACTACTTTTAGTTTCGTTTGATATACTGCTACAATATCAGGTAACCCATTAATTATAGAGCTTACAACATGAGTGAACTCTATACTAGACTAAGACTATTGAGAGGTGGCAGGTGAGGATAATATTGTTGCTAATGAAATTATAAAGGTTTAATGTAGGGAGGATGAACTGAACATTCTAGATTTAATTGTGCCTCTTTGATCCATGTACTTATCTTGAAGAAATTAAGTTACAGTTGTCGTTCTGCTGAAAGAGATGCATTACCTTGAACGAGAGGAAAAGAATCGACAGTAAAAAATAGTGTTAGAACTAATTTTAAGAAAAGACAGATGGCACGATTAGAAGAACAAAAAAGAAATGCATTCGAATCGTGAACGGCACAAAAGCTCGATTGACAATCCTTTTTCGTTAGATTAAAATTAGTTTTGAAAAATATCTAAAAACAAAAAAGAGGAAAACCGATAAAAACAAACAAACGTGAGTGAAAAAATATCAAAAGTTAATCAAATTAAATCGAGATTATTCAAAAGAAAAAGAAAATGAAAACAAGACTTAATGAAAATTCCTTGCAGATGTGTGTTTCGAAGACCGGATGGAATATAATTTCGGGTTTGAGTTTATGTTGTCGTCTTTCTTTCTCAGAGATAAGCATAACGTGATAGATATAACTTCGAATGCGTTAATTACTTTACAGATATGTGTAAGATAAATAGAGCTAAGTATTCGTCAAGAGTAATCCCTTGAAGCACGAGCTAATTTTGCCTTGAAATACGAACTGAATTTATATATATATATATATATATATATATATATATATATATATATATATAATTTATAATTTACAAAAACGGTATGAGATTTAATGCAGCACGAGTGAGGTCGAAGATTTGTTAAAATTAATAAGGAAACAGTTTATCTGTTTGACTGTTTTTTAATTTATATAGACTGTATATCTCTCCTGTTTTGATTAGCAGAATCTTGAAAGAGTTAAATTATATATATATATATATATATATATATATATATATATATATATAGTTTATGAAAAGCTAGGTAATCTGTATGGGTAAACCTAAGGAGGATAAAATCCAGAGAGCTCAATGTAAATCCAGAGCAAATAATTTGATTAAAAACAGACCACTTTAATGTTCTTTTCATTTTTTGTTTGGAAGTAAAGTCTGATGATCCGCAGTCCTTTTAAAAGGGCTGTATGAAAAGAATTATTGCATGGAACCTTAAAGTGGTCTGTTTTTTATTTATATATATATATATATATATATATATATATATATATATATATATATATATATATATGTATATGAAAATATTTTTAAAATATTTTTATTCATTTTTAAACACCGTTTTTGTTTTTTTTTTTGCTTAATTTGCGGTGTAACACCCCACCCGCGCCCAGTTCGCATTAAAAATTTCCAGAATGTTTATTTATTTATAAATTTGATAAAATCTACCGTTTTGGAGTTATTGACAGTGAAATTTCCGTCCATTCGCGTCGTGGGGCGCCATTAGGGGCGTTATTTGTATACATTCGCTGCAGAATAGCTGTCAGTGCAGGTGCCATGCGCAAACTGAACGTGTATATGTGAATAGTTCTCGTGCGCAGTAATTGAAACAAATTCAGACTAGAAATATCAGTTCCGTGCTTAGCTTTTCGTAGTCTCCCGTGTTTAGCTTTCCGCAGTGAATGTATGCAAACAACGCGAGTAATGGCTGCCGCCAACGACGCGACTGAATCCCAAATTTCATTGTCGATAACTACAAAACGGTAGATTTTATCAAATTTATCATGCCATATTCGAATGGAGCATGTACAATTACCCCTATATGTAAGTATTTTGGACATTTTTAATGCGAAATAACCGCGGGTGCTACGCTGCAAATTAACACTTATTTTTTAGACCGTGCTTTTCTCCCAGCATTGAAATTATTGGAAGAGTTACGTCAATCATTTTGTTCATTATTATTATTATTATTATTATTATTATTATTAGTGCTGTTGTTTTGCGAAAGAGCAGAACGCCCCGAAATGACACTGTGCTGCAAAAGCAGGG